AGGCATGGTTATCGCTGCTCAACACGAAATCCTGATGAATCAGGTAATGCTCCCATTGTTTCAAAGCTCTCACTACGGCGTAAAGCTCCTGCTCATAAGCGGACCAATTCTGTCGGGTAGGACTTAGTTTTTCGCTGAAAAACTCAAGTGGTCGATCTTCTTGTGACAGTACCGCACCAATTCCAATTGCAGAAGCATCAGTATCTACATGAAAAGGTTTGCTGAAGTTCGGAATAGCAAGAACAGGAGCGGAACTCAAGGCCGCCTTAATGTTGTCAAAACTGAGTTGTTGAGCAGGATCCCACCGAAAGGATTTCGATTTGAGGCAGTCTGTGAGTGGAGCAACAACTATGCTGAAGCCCCGGATGAATCTTCGATAGAAATTCGCAAGCCCGATGAAGCTGCGTACCTCGGCTATAGATTTGGGCTTTGGCCATTCGGTGATTGCTGCAATCTTCCTCGGGTCAGTGTGCACCCCCTGGCCGGAAACTATGAATCCCAGAAAATGAACCGAATCAGTAGTGAATTCACATTTCTGAAAGTTTAAATACAGTTTGTTGCTCCTGAGAATCTCAAAGATGGAGAGCAGGTGAGTTAAATGATCCTGCAATGACGAGCTATACACGAGGATGTCATCTAAGTACACGACGCAGCACTTCCCGAGCACTGGTTTGAGGATGTCGTTCATGAGCCTCATGAACGTAGCTGGAGCGTTGCAGAGACCAAATGGCATAACTCGCCATTCATACAGTCCATCCCGCGTTTTGAACGCGGTTTTCCACTCATCTCCTGGTCGGATGCGCACTTGGTGATATCCGCTTCGGAGATCCAACTTGGAGAAGATAATAGCACCGGTGAGCCTTTCGAGCATATCTTCCAGCCGGGGAACAGGGAAACGATATTTCGTTGTGATCTTATTGATAGCTCGACTATCAATACACATACGCCAGCTTCCATCTTTTTTTGGCACAATAAGGGCGGGGACAGCGCATGGACTCAAGCTGGGTTGTATTAAATTTTTCTGTAGCAAATCCTCCACTATTTCTTGTAACGCCACATGTTCTTGGGGACTCATTCGGTAATGTGGCAAATGAGGTAAATTAGCACCCGGCTGAAGTTCGATTTGATGTTGTATATCACGCAGCGGAGGCAATTGATTCGGAAGTTCATCAGGCCAGATGTCACTGAACTGGAGCAGTAATTCTTGCACTTGATCTGGTAACCGTGCAAGTTCAGCACTGGAGGTATGGGAGTCGGTCACTAGAGCAAACATAGCAGAGGCTTCCTTCCAGGACTGAACAATATTCTGTCCCGATACCACGTGCATTACTGCCTTCTCAGGAGCTGCTGGTGAGCTCTCATTTGGTCTTTGCGGTAACAATCTAATTTTCCGGTTCTTCCATTCAAACGAGTAAACGTTCAGACGACCATCATAGGTTGCTCCAACAGCAAATTGCCATGGCCTCCCCAAAATAATGTGACACACGTTCATTTCTAAGACATCACACACAACTTCGCATACATAGCTTTTGCCAATGGTGAAGGTTACTCTGCACATTTCAGATACTAAAATTTCCACTCCCCGTTTTACCCAGCTGATCTTATATGGCTGTGGATTTTTTGTCGTCTTCAATTGCAGCTTTTGAACCACTGACGATTGGGACATTCATTGGACTTATGTCCCAGTTGGAAGCATCGGTAGCATTTGAATGTGGAGGGTTTTGCATACGGGTTAGTATCTTTGGGTTGAATCCTCGGCTTTTGGACGGGTGTCACTGTTTGTTTAGGTTCGGCACCAAGTATGCCTGCTCCGCCTTGTAAGTGAACTGTAGGCTTGGTGCTGCCGCCAGCCGTCTGTTTGTTCATTTCCTGAGTTGATTCTCCTACATGACGAGTGAAGTTCCGTCCCCTTAGCTGACGGTTAAGCTTTCCCTCTGCCATGAGTGCATAATTGACAGCTTGGGATACCGTCCAAACTGAATTTAATTCCAGTTTATCTTGAATAACTTCCTTCAATCCTCCAATGTAGCGGGCTGTCAGCTGGTTCTCCGATTCATTCAGATTATTGCGCGCACTGAGTCTGTAAAATTCTTCGGTGTATTCACTCACCGATCTCCCTCCCTGAGTGCAATGTTGATATTGCAGATATAGCATCTGTTCAAAATCATTAGGAAGAAAGTGTCCGCGCAGTAGTCGTTTCATACGAAACCAACTAGTTATGCCCCCATTTCCTTCACGCCTACGTGCTTGAAGCAGCTGTGCCCACCAAGCTCCAGCTCCACCTTTCAACCTGCAGGCTACATATTTGACTTGCTTTTCGGGAGCAATCTCCATATAATCAAAAAACGCTTCTACCGAACGTTCCCAATCAAGATACTCTTCGATATTCATTCGACCTTCAAAAAAAGGGATGTCTAATTTTATGCGGAATTCACCCGATTGACGATTATGCGCTTGAAATCGTCTGGGGGGATTGTGGTGATTTGTTCGTGCCTCAATTTCTGATTCAGATTCATCCGCTGGGTGAAAATCTGCTTCTCCATCCGAATCGGACGGGGCTGCTGCTATCACCGGAGTGTGTCGCGGGCGATACCGCCTCGGCGCTATAGGAGAAATTGGTCGGCCGCGCTCTGGCGCTGCTCTCGTCGTCCCCATTGATCGAATGTCGTTCCGCACTTCTGTGGAAAAACGGAAGAACTCGTTAGTCAATACCTCCAACTGGCGCGAGATATTACTCTGAGCCTGCCATAGCGCCTCTAAGCTCCGATCATCTTCAACCATCGGCCGTTTGCTTCCGTCTGCCATTGTTATACGTTCGCAAGCTCTGATACCAATTTGGTGTGGAGCCGTGATTACCTGCAAGATAAAGAGAAAGAGGAGAACGAAAACAGAGGAGGAGAAGATTAGGAGAGAAATCACATCAGATGAGAAGAAAGAAAACTGGAAGAAGAGAGGAGAAGCCGGAGAGGAACTGGATTCAACCCAGTGTTTCTGTATTCATTTCTTTTCTAACCTTCTCTTCACTGTGAGGAGATATATACTCCCGGTAACATAGTAAATAAAAGTAGATGCAATAAAATAGCCTTATGCGGCTGGTTGTAAGGAAATGAAAACTATAGAGCTGAAAAGTGTAAAAGTAAAGCTATTAGGTAGGTAGTAGTGGTAGCCTGTAGGTTCGTTATTGCCAGTAAGGATACGTTGCTCCGCCGGACCAGGATTAGTCCACATCAACAATTTTTATACTTTTTTTTAAAGTAACTTTTTAATATAAAAATTTCAAATTAAAAAAAAAAAATGTATCAAAATTTTACTTTCGAAATCAGTATAAAAGCTGCCCCAAAAACCCTATGATTTTCAAGGGGCGGAGGGGTGAAACAGACATGAAGGCGGGGGAGATTATTGGGTTTAAACATCGGACACAACATAGCGTTTGGTACTTCACAATATTGAGTAAAATTGAATTCGGTACTGTGTCGGTACTTCACAGTACCGAGCAGTACTGAGCTCAGTATTGTTCGGTACTGTGAAGTACCGAGCTCATGCAGAGCTCAATATCGAGTAGGAGGTGATGTGGCGCATTTTAATTGAGCTCCGGACGTCATCCCGTGTTAGAACCCAATAATTTCCCGGAAGGCAGAGAGCACCTAAGCAAATAAACAAATAAGGGAAGAGGGCCGCTCAGTTCACTCTTGTAAGGAAAGATGTGCACACATAGGAAAACCCTAAAATGGGCAGAGATTGATAAGATGCTTTATACATTATAATAATACAAAAAAATATTTTTGACTGAAGCTCATGGAAGTCGACCAACCTCTCCACCACTGAATTTTCTTCTAAATAATAGCTGTTTTTGTCCTCTCTTTATGGAGCTCACTTTGGAGTGAGTACTCTCTCTCTCTCTCTCTCTCTCTCTCTCTCTCTCTCTCTCTCTCTCATTTAAGAGAAATTATTAAGTGTAGGTAATCGAATGCTCGTTTTCAGGTAAATGAGGATGCGCCACATCACTATTTTATTGTATACTACCGCTGTGTACCGGGTGACGTGACACATCCTGATTCAATTCCAATGATATGGTGACCACACGTAATAATTTCTCCTTATTTGAAGGCTTTCATTGTTTTTTATATTAGAATATCTCCAACCCAAAAAAATATTGGGAGATTTACATACATACTACTCTATATTATTCTATTTATATATTTAACATCTAAACTTTAATATTACATTCATACCACCCATAATTCATTTTCATATCAAATATGAGTGGTAGAAATGAAATATATGAATGCTAGGAAATAAATATGAGTGGTATATTTGATATTAAAATAATTTAGAATGGTATGTATGCAATATTAAAATTGTAGATGTTAGATATATAAATATGATGGTATAAAGTGGTATGTATGTAAATTTCCCAAAAAAAAATTTCCACTTCAAAGTATAATAACAATCATATCAAATAGTAATTTATCTCCAATCAAATTTATTATAACACAAAAAAAAAATTATGTATATATATTATTTCTCATATATGTTTTTATATTTATTTATCATAATCTTAAAAAATTGGTTTCTGAATAATGCATGTAATGAGAGCTAAGTGGAGGAAGTTAGTGAGTATGGGGAGTTAATAGAAAGTTTTAATGTATTTGTGTAACTCCCCATAGTATGAACACATAATGAAGTTGAAAATATATCTCTTCACTTGCTATTTTTTGAGTTTAGATGGCTAAAACAAATACTATACCATAATAAATTAGAAAATAGTACATAATCTGATTAGTACATATTGTTATTCAGTACATTCAGAGCACTTATATCACTATAAAATGTACTCTTGAGATTATATTTATATTATAAGAACAACTAAATCACTATAAAGAGCCTAAATATGACAACATTTGTACTATAAAATGTTCTTGAAAATCATCAATATTAATTTTTGTTTGTTATTCCGAGTTCAAATCACAAAGCTTTGCATTGATTTTCAGTAGCACATATGGCGAAAACAACTCTATCATACAAATTCAAAGTTGAAGTTAGGCGCTTGCCGCTTTTGAAAGCTCATATAACACTTCAGTATCTCAGGCTTCGTTTGGGACGACTTTCTTATTGCTTCTTAAAGCAGCTTTTTAGTACAAAAATTTTATTTGTTGTACTAAAAAGTTGCTTTAAGAAGCAGTAAAAAAGCCGTCTCAAACGAAGCCTCAATCACATCAAATATACATATAAAAAGTTATATTTTAGATTAAATACATTAATTTCAGTGATGTTTTTTTGATATGATTTAAAACCTTAGGTGTTAGATGTATAAATACTTAATAATTCTATGATATGAATGAGAATCCTCTTTAATTTTTTTGTATGATCATCCAATGAATCAATGGGGCATCAGCTTTAGCTTTCCACCATATATCTCTGGGAGCTGATCCTCATCAATGTCTTCAAGCAATGAGGTCCTCAGATTCTTGTCCTCCACAAAGATAAACTAAACATGACAAAACATGAGAGATGAAAATGATAATGTTCATAACAACACAGAAGAAGAGTATGAAATGGACTCCAAAAGCATTTGAAAGTAATGGGAGAATATTGGGTCAAGATGTTCTTAGTTAAATTTTTATTATGGATAAAGTATTTCAACTCCTCAAATATGATAAAAAATAGTTCATCCGTCGAACTACTTTGGATCGTATTCGAGAAATTAAGGGACATTTTCGGATAAGATTTGAGCTCTCAATTGACTAAATTGCATATGGAAGATAATCTGGGAGAAAACCTCCCATAAATAATTAAGGGACCATTTTAAAATTTTATATCTTAAAAATTATGAAGAGATATCTTGCAAATAGATAGAATAGTATTGCACTTGGCATTGAAAAAAGATCTATCTTATATCTTCAACTAAATTTAGGCTTCATTTGGGACAGTTTTCTTATTGTTTTTTAAAGTAACTTTTTTTAACTAAAAAACTGTTTTAGAAAGTAATAAAAAAGCTGTCCCAAACGAAGCCTTAGTTCAAGGTATTCTCGCCAAAATTGTAATAGGAGTATTGATGAATTGGAAGTAGAGCAGCAAAAGCAAAATAAAAGGTAATTTTGAAGAAGAATTAGAAGCTTACCTTATTCCTAGTATTCTTATCAATGTAAGGGTATACAATCTTCCATGCTCTCATAAAAAGGGATGGAACATGGATCAAGAACACCTTCCCAAGTCTTTCTGGATAGTAATTCTGCAACAAAATATATCAATTAAAAGCTCATCTAATGAAGAACTGAGTTTGTTCATAAATAACACTAACAGAATATTTCTGCTCCAATATTCTGTCACTTGAACAAAATATCATTTGTCCATCTTTGACGACTTAACATCTTTATCAACGTTCATATTATCTCTAATTTCAAATAAAATAAAATCTGCAAGGTCATAAATGGAAGTGAGGAATTGAAAATTACCTGCAGAATATCTAATACTGCAAGGTAGCCGCGTATGTCACAGTTGGAATAGCCCCAGCCTTGAAAATCTACTATGGCAACAAGCTTCTCCTGGTTTCCTGGCATCCTTCAACCAGTAACATAGCAAAGTCAAGTAAAACTGCTCTTCTTTCCATGTACACGATCAAGAAAAAAGATCAACCAGCATAGTATATTCTTCTTATTAACATGGCATTTAAATCAATGGCCGAGAGTAGTTGCAGTACCTGGCGCATATTTTGTCAAGGTAATACACAACAAGATCTGCAGCAAAAAAGAAATTGTTACACTGAAAAAGATTTCATTATGCATGAGCTACTCATGGCTTCTAAATGAACAGGTTGCTACCGGGGCGGATCCAACCTTAATTTCTAGGGAGGCCAAACTTATAAGTAAAAGTGTAGAGTTTTTTTTTTTTTTCAAAAATATCCTTACAACCAAACTTTATTCCGAGGGTGTTGCCTCTCGACCCCTATTTATTCATCGTTGTACGCTTCGTAGATATGTCGAGGGCCTAAGGGGGCAGTGCCCCCTGGCGATCAGGTCGCGGGGTCAATGGGCAACGCTCCCGGAACAAATTTTAGTTGTAAGAATATTTTTGGATTCTCTTTACTATTTCATTTTGTATTTGGTTCATCATTCCCTAGCAATAACATCTCTACAATAGTATTTTAAAACTTTTAGGGGGGCAATTGCCTAAAAACCTTTATAATAAAGACTAAAAAATTCATGAAGGGAGACAAATTACTTAAAGAATCATATAATAAAGATTTTTTTTTATTTTCTAAGGGGGCAGAGAGCAATTCCCCCCCTGGCCTTAAGGTGAATCCGCCCATGGTTACTACCACAACATCAATGAAAACCAATAACTTCTATAGATTTGTGAGTAGCCAGTTCACTTGTTTCAATAAATGCCTTGTAAAGATAGTAAACTTACAAATTTATAAACTTTTTGGTGCAAAATTCATTGAACAAGTACTCACTCTTCAATTCATTCATGTCTCGCTTTGAGGGATAATGTTTTGAAGGAAAAGCGATTAATATAGGACTCCCTTTCTTGCTAAATCCCTGGATGAATAACTTATTATGAGAAAGTTCATTCTGGATTTGTGCTTCAGCAATGAAACCATTAGGTACAGCAGTCCTCCTCCATTTCAGGAACTTCAAGAACATGTCCGACGCCTTCTCGAGGTTCAAATCACGAGATCGCAAGAATCTTCGAATCATAAAGTCATCCACCTCCTTCATTTGAAATCAGAAAGAAAAGAAACTGAAAATTCTTGACCACCATTAGAATAAGTTCAAATTCAGGCACAACAGAATTTGCCAAATGTGAAGAAGTCATTTGCATAAGCACTTATGTACTAATACCTCAACTCTGCATTCAAATTCTTGCATGAATTTCTTATTATAATCATAGATATAAGAAGTTTAAACCAAGAGATAATGCATATAAAAGTTGTTTTGTAGTGTAGTTGGAGATAGACACCAAGACTTACTTCAGAAGACCATTAGGGGGGAAAATGGAGGAAATAAGAATTGAAATGATTATCTTTTGAACTGGGAAAATGGAGGAAATAAGAATTGAAAGGATTATCTTTTGAACCGGAGAAGTGTTGGATCTTCATATCCATATATAAAATACGGAAATAAAAATCAAGATTTTTAGAAAATTAAATTGAGACATTCTCCATATTAATTTTCTTATTAAATAATTATATAATATGAAATGAAGAAAACTTATCAAATTGTTAATTGAGATTGTAGATCTTCTTTGTCGAACTGTTGATTGAGACTGCAAGTCTTCTTCTTCTAATCACCTCACCGAGGCGTTGCACGAAAGCAAAAAAAAAATCTAATGTGAAGCACACAAACCCAGGCAAGGGATAAATCCCCGTGCTCCCCAGCAAATACGACAAGCTTTGAGGTCCGAGACAACAGAATAACCAGATTGATCAACACAATCAGATTCCACACATAACAACCACTTATAATCATTCTAACCCGGGTGTGACATGCCTAGTTTATTGAACTAGTCTTCACCATTTATGTTCAAAACAAAAGAACAAAGGGAAACAAAAGAAAAACTGAAATCAATTCATTTTCTGTCTTCCTAGAGACCCTATTTATTCTGCAACTATAAACAAACATCCATGAAAGCTACTTCGATTAAATATCATTTAAAAATATTTTTGCAAACATTACGCTGAGAAAAACAAGAAAACTTCTCTTAATCTAAGCTCAAATAAAAATCTCTAAAACCACAAGATTTTTCCCCCTTCCTGATGAACCTCATATCAATAAGCAAAATCCCAAGCTTCAAAGCCCATAAATAAAAAGGAGAAGAAAAATGGAACCTTGGCTGCTGGGTCCTTTGCTTCAACAGCAGACCGCATCTGCGCCACCAGCTTCCACTCCGCCTCCTCGTTTGACTCCATTTCCACAACGCAAGCTTCTCCCCCTCTCCCTTCTGCAATAAAAACAAAAGCTTCGACGCCAACACAGCCTGAAATGACAACGCAGAAGGCAGAAAACAGTAAAGACAACAGCTTGTTCTGATCAAATTGAAAATTTGGAACATAATTAAATGCCGTTAGGTCGAGACGAATAAAGATTTCAGATCTTTAATGGCCTAAGTCTCCAAGTGGCATGTGAGGAAAAGACATAAAAAAGCTTAGGAGCATTGGATATGTGGATGCAATGCGTTGAAATTTATGGCGAAGATGTTTATGCTGAAATAGCACACTCAATTGGTAAAGAAATAATTTAAAACTTGGGCACATTTGTCGAATTGAAGCTAAGTAGTGAGGTGGCCTTAACTTAGTCAACGAGTTTTGTTGCAAGTTTCTTAATGGTAGAGCAAAAAAATAAAACCAGTTCAATTTTGTAGGAAATTTATGGTAGCATTCAACAACAACAACAAGTTCAACCCTTTATCCCACAACGTGGGTCGGCTACATGGAAATATGAATCATTTTTCTCCATTTTCTCCTATTAAAAGTCAAATTGACATTTAAATCTAATAAAAAGAAATCATTTCTAATACATTTAACCAAATCTTTTTAGGTCCATTTAGGCCTTTTCTAAGAAAAACCAGATCTAATACATTTGTTGTCCTAATCGAGTCATTGGAAGGTTGATATTTTATGTAACCAAACCATCTAAGGAGATTCTCTCTAATCTTATCTGCCACTGAAGCAACCCCAACCCTTTCATGTATATGCTCGTTTTGCATTCTGTCTCTAAGAGTAAAGTCGCTCATCCACTTGAGCATCCGATTAGATATTAGTCCAGATTTTACTTAGTTTCTCTTTTGTACTTTTCTTTAGTTTCTTATATGGCTTGTATTTTCATTCGTATAGCCATTTGTGTCTATAAATAGACACTATGAGGTGTTATAGGAGTTATGGTTAAGCAATAAATATTTTTTTATTTATGATCTTTCCCTCTCCCCTTCCCTCTCTCTCTCTCCCCCTCACCCAAGAAAAGCTCAAAAGGAATAGCTTCTTTCTCTTTCAAGATCCTAACAAATGGTATAAGAGCTAGATGGAGGTGGAGAAATTTTTCTTGTTTAAAAAAACCGATTCATAAAGAAGAAGTGGTTGGTAGAAGGAAGCAGGTTGTGCAAATATTCTAAACAAATTTTTTGCTCAGAGTTGCTTGAGCCAAATCAGGTGGAGTTTAATTTTAGATTTAAATATTTTAAAATAATATTGAGAATTTCTATAAATTCTCAAAATTAGGATATTCATATATCTAAAATAATCAAATACCCTTAAATTAAAAGTGATATTTTTTAAAATTGGAAAAGAAAAATTGAAAATCTAAAAGTTAGCTTCAAAGATATGTCAAAGATCAAAGTCAAATGTTATTCTAATTTCCTTAATTACATCAATAATTTGTGAAATAAAAAAAATTCATATAATTATAGGATTTTTAAAAATTGTTTGTTATTTTTATTATTATTAATAAAAATATCACATTAATCATGAAAATCAGTATATAAATTTGCAAAAATCCAAATAAAATTGGAAGTGCTTCAAATCTATTAAATGATTTTTAAATTGAAATACATACAGTAGTGATTATATGCAATGAAATTGAATTTCATAAATTTTTTTAATTAGGGAAAAAGGATTTAGGGTTGTAAAAATTTCCATTTTTATTTTGGAAAAATCTATCAATTCAGTTGATAGTTCAAAATGTTTATTTTGGGCTTCTCTAAATTTCCAAATACTATTTGAGGTATTTTTCTATAATCAAAATATTTTGTATTTTAATAGTGAAAAAATTATCTTAAATAATAATACTAAAAAAAAGATTTAAGCTTGGTGACAATAGGGCAAAATGGTAATTTCAAATTTCCTATTTGAAACTTCAAAATATAAAAAATAGTAAAGAAAAAGTCTAAATAAATAAATAAAAATTAAATTTAAAGCATTATCCATCCCGAAACTTTCTCATAATTCTTTGGGATATAAATATTTTTTTAATTTAATGTTTAAAATATAGGGTATTTTAATTATCAAAAAAAAAAAAAAAACCTAAAAATTTCTTGGAAATTTTGAAGAGATTTAAGACTTTGTCCATTAAATATTCTATTTGATTGTACCGGACGAACCATTATTTGTCCATCAAATATTATGTTAAATCATATTGAACGATTTGAATCGCAAAATACAAATGCCAATCACGCTTGATCCTGATTCGATTGTTTGGTTCTTGGATCAAAATAGGCATGTTCTTTACTATTCCTACAACACGATCAAGATTGTCCAATACAATTAGTTTTAATTTCAAATTTCTAAATTGCCTATTTTTGAAAATCCAGAATTTCGTACGGGTATATATCAAAATAACTGATCATCATATACAATCAATATCGCACAACACGATTAATTATGCTTGATTTTATTTTATTAATTTATTAAATGCTTGTTTTATTCTTTAGAATAATTAGTCATGCAATATGATTGTGACGCACAATATGATTTAACAGATAAATCAAGTGTTCAATTTTCTATCCACACTTAGTATATGCTCGGTTATCTTTCCAACTCACACCTGAATACCAGAAAACTCCTAAAAAGAGAAATATTGTCGTGTATTACAGACTTGACCTTTCTAAACACTGTAATTCTCGAGTTCCCCCAGTTTGCTTGGATTCATATATGTTGAATCATGTGTGCCACTATAGTCCTCATATTATACTTAAAATGTTAGTACAACAACAACATCAAGCCTTTGTCCCACTATGTGGGGTCGGCTTGAAATGTTAGTAGCCAAAAAAAAAAAAAAAAATCAATTCATAATGCAAAAAAACAATAAAGTGATATAAACAATATTGTTTGTAATCATCCAAATAACAAATCGGTCTCACCAATTTTTTAACATAAAAAAAAAACATTGAATATGCATATCACAAATTTGGTCCACCATGATCAATGTTAGGCTAAGATTAGGACCATTTATAGTCAAACCAAATCATGGTGAAATATTTGAATTTATGATTGATAATTAAGAAGTCTATAGCAAGTTTAATGTAATATTCCAAAAAATTAAAAGGTAAAAAAATCCAATATATATAAGCTTATATGAATTAAGTTGGTTACAATTAAATTTTTTCTAAGTTAAAATTTAATAACACTGCTCATCAGAAATATTGCACTTTAGCAGCTTTTCAATTTCCAGTAAATTCATTTTCTTGGCATGCAACAACTCATGGAAATTGGATGCAGTTGAAGTGTGATTAATGACATTTTACTAATTTCTAAAGGTAGTCTTTTTGAACAAAAAATTTTTTAGATTGAAATTTTTGTATTAAAAAATTGTTTTAGAAGTAATAAGAAAGTTGTCACAAACAAAACCTAAGTTGATGTCTCTCCCTTTTGATCCACCCGGAAGGTCTCATCCATTGGGGAGATTATTGGGTTCAGACACTGGACACAGCTTACTGTTATGTACTTCACAATACCGAGTAATATTGAACTCGGTACTGTGAAGTATGAAGTTCGGTACTTCACAATATTTAGCAGTACTGAACTCGATATTGAGTAGTACCGAGCTCAATACTACTCGGTACTGTGAAGTACCGAGCTCATACGGAGCTCAGTATCAAGTAGGGGTGATGTGAAATATTTTTATTGGGCTCCGGACGTCGTCCGGTGTACGAACCCAATAATTAGGGTAATAAATATAGGCTTGTATGGAGGCAAAAAGGGTCATTGGCATGGAAAATTTATTTTTTGAGGACACCAGACGCCGTCTGGAGCGAATTTGAGCACATCACGTCACTCCTTTGCTGTGTTCCGCAGTTATGTACCAAGTGATGTGGGGCGCTTTGATTCTCCTCTGAAAGGTCCGGTGTCTGTACATAATAATTTCTCCATTGACATGTAGCTTTTAAGCTTATGATAGCTAATAAATCACTTCTACATATAAGATTTATTCTATAGTGAATTATAGATATTTTCACCTCTTTCAATTATGAATTTATGATATAGAAAAAGGTTAGTAGGACTTATCCCTGTGTCAACTTAGAGGGGTTGTTGTGTGGTGTAAAATTTTATGGGGTACTATGGTCATCATAGGATTTAATCCTAGTTAGCTTAGACTTTGGGCTGAAATAGGTTTCCATTTAAGTTAACTTAGGATTGAACCTAAAGATGTATAAAGGACTTGAAATTGAATAGAAATAGGATAAATGACTTGATTCATCTTTAGAAAGGGTTAGAAGATCAATCTGGGGGGGGGGGGGGGTATTTCCTATTCAAGTTAAAGGGGTGTACTTTCCTATTCAAGTTAAAGTGGCCTATTTTGAGCATGGCTAACTCAATCTAGCATGTGAAGCATCCTAAAATAATCAAACCCAAGCATCAAGCGGCATTTGATATGTTTATTTATATTTTTGGTGCTCAAAACATCATCGCTCGACCATGGTCCTCAGATTACAGGTGGCCAACTACGATCGGCAGACCACAGTTGCCTTATTACAATACTATGACCATTGTAGTCTGATTATGATCCTTCTGATCTATGCCGCCCATTAATTATGGTTCACTGACCCAAAGCATTTTAAACTATGTCACTTGGCTGCTCCAATGACTTGATTTCATCACCTACTATCTCCAACAATGGCAACACACACCATCACTTATAAGATTGGTGTACGATATCAATATAACACCTATAAAGTCTCTGTAGTGTTCAATCCGTTATGACATGACCGATTCATGGTAATCCATTAAATTTTTATGTTTAAATCCTTCTGTATGTGTATGTGAATGTTTTGTGCGCATGTTTTTTGAAATGGGTCTTGGGGATCTGTTTGCATGCTTGAAAAAGTTTGAATTTTTCCTTGTGGGTATCGTGATGTTGATGTTGATGTTGATGTTGATGTTGGTGGCACCTACCATGGCTTTTTTGGAAAATTGAAAAAAAATAAATAATAACAATGACATTGGATTGGTGCTTTTAAGCTTATGATAGTTAATAAATCACTTCCACATATAAGATTTATTCTCAAGCTAAAAGAAGAAATGTACACGTGAACTAATTCAAAAAATTTATAGGCAATTAGTTAACATAAAGATATATGTACATACTTTTTAAAATTGTGAACACGTGAACTCTAATGTTTTACTTAAAGTTATGTTTATTATTAGATATTTTGCTTACGAGTAAATCAAGTGTTGATTCGGGTATTTCATATGCAAGGACTTCAATTAGTATATTGGACTAATATA